CTCTAAACCTCTTAAGCCCTGAAGCTCTAAACCTCTAAACCCTTGAAGCTTGCCGAGGCAGTTACCCGGCCCACGCTGCCGACAGCAGGTGCATTCACGGAGGAGCGAGGGCTTGAGGGTAATCTAGGGCCTCTAATGATTACCTATAGTATTTTGGGGCTTCCTTATCATAATTATAGTATCGTGTAGTTTGGGGGGGCTTCCTCATCATAATTATAGTAGAGATGGCCCGAAAACCCTATTCTAATTATTAAGGCACCGACAGTATAGGGGCTGAGGGGTTGAGGGTTTAGGGGTCGGGGTCTCGGGATCTGGTGCTTCACGTGCAGCTTTGAAGGTGTGTTGTTTCGGTTCAATACTAGACCCAGGAGTAACCTAGGAATGAAAAGGGTGCCCTTTTTGGTTTTAAGGGGATTATGAGGGAGCCCCAACCCTCAAAAAGGAAATAAGGGTCTACTCCGGGTCCTAGAATACCTTTTGAAGAGTAGTTCTGATCATCTGGAAGCGTTGGTGTGAGAAAGATTCCTACCTGCTTTTGGCTCTTGATAGGCTGCGTAGATCGCGTCAAGGGTGCTGGGCTGGCGAGAAAGGTACAGCACGTTTCTGAGGACGGAACGTGCCTTGAGGTCCGTCCACAACCCAAGGATAACGTGCATGTTAATGCTTGGACATGACCCAACCTGCCCAACTCAGGGCTGTTGAGGGATATGCAATACCGGCCTTCCTTGTGTTGTCAAGAACTCGGCTTTAGAGGCACAACACTAAAGGGGTATAGTTTAGTACTTGTTCATGCTGCCGTGCTATTGCACACAGGGCCTGCGGCAGGTCATCGCAAAAACGAGTGGCATTGTGCCCAGTACCTTTTCCTCCATTGATGCTTCGGAGCTCTTGTGTACCCCGAAAGAAGACCGATGGGAGACTTGGCCTGCCCTGCGGTTTGTTGCCCGTGGTACTTCCCTTTCGGGCTGATAATGGTAAACCCTTTAAACCCTAAACCCTGAATCCTAAACCCTAAAAGCCCTAAGCCCCAAAAAACCCTAAAAACCCTAAAAAACCCTAAACCCTGAAGCCTAAACCCTAAAACCGTGCGTTCTGGTACTTCTTTTCGGGCCTGCTTTGGTGGGGGCTGGGCGCCTCGAGAGTTCCGCCGGGCCCCTCATTTCTTGCCCTTGTAGCAAAAGGGTTTAGGGTATTAGGGTAGTTTAGGGTTTAGGGTTTAGAGTTTAGGGTTTAGGGTTTAGGGTTTAGGGAGCCTTAACCCTCCAGGTACCTAGAATATAGGGCCTTAGGGGCTCTAGTACCCCATATAGTAGGTACCTGGGGGCTTAGGGGAGCTTATGGGGGTTTTTGGGTTGATGCGGTTGAGGGTTTGGGGTCGCTTATATTAAAGGCCCAACCCTGAAGTTAAGCAAGCCCCCGTGAAGTACCATGTGGCTCGTCGTCACCGGAAAGCAGATCCACAGGTTCCCTGTGAATCGACCTGGGATCTTGCAACGTGGCAGAAACGCCCAACAAAATTTCTTCCCGAGTGATGGGTTGAGGACATGCGGTTGAGAAGAAGGAGTGTAATCGCTTTAGGGTTCAGGGTTCAAGTGCATATGTTCAGGAATGCTAGCTACAAACCAATCACAACAGATGGCTTAGTCTTTGTGCCGGGGGGGGGGGGGTACATCCTATATGGTTTAAAAGATAATGACCGATGAAAAGCCTCAAGCAAGCAGCGCCGCGGCGGTGCTCGTAGGTCTCACGTGCCGTTTGGTAGACACCTTGAGACCACTTGATGGCCGAATTCACTTCCTGCGGGAAGGCAAGGGTCCGCAAACTCAAAACGCAAAGCCCCTCTGGACCCTAGGCCCTATAAATCCCTTAATGTAGAACTGGGCTCCTGAGACTTGGCGAGCCAACTGCAGCGCTCTGGCGGAAGATATCTAGCCCTCGAGTCAGTTGCAGAGCTCTGCTGTCTTTGAATTTTTAATGTACTCACGCCAAGTGGGAAGTGGGACACCATGCCAAAAACTGAATTCCCAAACCCGAGCCCCTACATATATACCGCGGACTGCACACCACAGCAAACTCAAACTGCCCTAACCGCCCAGGCCTTGTCTGCAAGTAGCCATACTTCTTGGAGAACTTCTCCAACTCCTGGATGCACGTCGACAAAACTCCGGGAAATCCCTAACTCCGAACTGGGTTCGGGCGGGGTACAAGGATGAGGGAATTCAAAAGTATCGGATGTCTGACACCTGGCTCTGACAGCTTGAACTAGAGGCACGATAAAGGTTCTTGCATCAGCGCTGTCTCTGTCATGTCCGTGTACTTCTCATGACTTTAAAAATCACTGATATTTTCTGTGGAGGACGGCGCAGCCAGTGCTCAATGCCCAACCTCGCCGACGACCTTGTTGTCCAACAGGTGCCGCCACATTTTGTAGTGGACAAGCGCCCTCGGAACAGTCATTTCATCTCAGTAACCCGGAGGCCAAGCCTCGAATCTAGCGCTACTTCACTTCAGATGGCATGCACCCTCTAGCACCAACTTACTTTGACTCATCTCACCACTTCACCTTGCATCGAAAGCTTCAAGATCCCATAATTGCCGGGAAGGCAATCGGACCGCATCTTATTGTACGTTCGAAACTGCATGACCCGTACCTAAACTCACGGCAACATCGACGAGGAATCACAAGGACCGTAACGATGACAACAGAGGAAGGCCCTGGTCAGTGTACAATCTCTTCAAGCGAGATGCTACGAAGACTGCGATGCATCAGGAACGGAAGCAGGTCATTCCATGATGGTTATGTGTAGCTATGTGGGCTTCGATGGCGAGGAGAAATGGACGCTAGCTTGGTTGGTGGTCGTGGTGGAGATGGTGGTCGCGGAGATGGTGATTATCTGCTTCATGGCCAGCGCATGATCGAGTATCTAGATTATGTTCGGGACACTGGGCATGGGAGTATGTGTTGACACTACCACTGGGGCGGTCGAGTTTCTTGTGTCGATGATGGTGCGATGATAATTTGTTTCCCCCTCGCAGGGCTGAGGTCTATGCCCACGAGCGAGGTTTGATTGGTTGAACTAGAGACAAGTTTCGAAAGGGTCACACATACTGTGCAGCTGTTGCCGGTATTTGCGCTGCGATGATAAACAAATGTGGCTGTGGTGCTGCTGGCGAAGATGGTGGTGGCTATGGCGATGGAGGCGGCCGTGGCAAAGGCAAGAGGGTGGGGCTTGATGTCGCTGACACCAAAAACCCAAACTAGGCTTCGATGCCGAGCCTCAAACCCAACCAACATGGAGCATCTCCAGTTGTTAACATCACGAGAACGACTATCTGTGAAGACTCGCCAAAAAACTATGAGCTGTATCATACTCCATCGAACGGCCCATAATGGAACCCTGCCTGCGAAACGGTAGCATCACCGCAGAATTACCAAGTCTTTCGGCTTCCTTGCATGCTGAGGCTCAAAATCAGTCCAGCCACTGCCAGCACCAGTGCGGCCAGGCAGCACTGGCAACAGATGGCAGAGAGCAAGCGTACATTGGTTCGGCTACCGAATGGTGCACCGAAAACCAACCCCTAAGCTAACTTCCGTCGAAGAAAAGCGGCTTTTAGAAGGACCGGCCGGTGCAGGTGTTTCTGAGAATGCGCTTCTTTCAATCCTTCTTTTCTTGCTTCTCTCTCTCTCTCTCTCTGTCCGCCTCCTAGGCCTGGAGTAGCCGATCACACCTAAACCCTAAACACACTACCCTGAAAGCCCCAAGCCCGTCAGCCCAAACCCAAACAAACATGTCTCCCATCCCACAAGCAGTAGGCAAGATTAGCCTTGCAGGGTGCCCACCTCAATGGCATTTGGCAGCGCCACGTTGCAGAACGTAAAGTCGAACTCTTCCTGGTTGAAAGCTCCGCTCTGGGGCACCAAGTTCAGATCTTGCGACTAGAGTGTCTCGAGAAAGGAGCCGGCAAAAGGTACTATAAGACACTTATAAGAAACGAAGTTGCTTTTGCAATCCTTTGAGTGTACACATCTTGTAACAAAGATGGAACATGGCTCCTAAGGAACACGCGGAGTACGAAGTTCCCATGCGCTCTTTCCTGCAACTTCCTGAGGTCCAGGCCCATCTCCTCCACAAGAAACGGCAGCCGAGAAGAGTCCTGTTTATTTAAGGGCATCAATGGTTTTTACTGCGAGTCCTCTAAAAGGGTTCTATAAGGGTTCTGCAAGAAGGGGCAGATTCTTCCTATAGGGGCCGTAGAAGTTACAATAGCGTTTTCGGGTCTATGTATGTATGTATTTATGGATGGATAGATCGATAGATAGGACAGCCGCATGTAAGACCGTCAGGAATATTACTGCTCACTCCTCAGGCTTCTATACTGGGAATCGTGGGTGTTTCGGGCTTTTTAGGCTTTGGGGCCTGAGTGGGCAGAAGATCCCCTCTTCGGGTTTGCAGGGATCACGGCTTTGGGGCTTGAGGGCTAATTTTCGGAGCTTTCGAAAATAGGGGGTACCTTATCATTTCGGAGCTTCAGGAAAGGGAGGGCTGGCCTACTGTTACTGTAGATAGGATCCTCACTATGCGGGCATCGAAATTCAGATAGTTTTTCTGAGGGGCCCCAAAGGCGGGTACAGGGCAAGGTGCTGTCACGGACAGATGTGTTGTGGCAGTTAGACTAGTGGCCTTAGGTTTTTCCATTATAATGTCTTGGGGTCGACTCTACTGCCAGTGCACAATGGGACAACAAGAGCGTGGCATGTTCGTTTATTCCCACCCCTCTAGCCTGCAGGGGTCGGCCCGGCTTTCAGCCAATGCTGAACGTATCGGTTCAATACGAACACCGCTTCTACTCCCCCTGTGCTGCACACTCGTGCTTAAGGCTTTACCGTGGGCTGTAAGGGTTAGGATATTCCACTGAACTTCAAGTCCCTAAACCCCCGAACCCTGTTCGAAAACTACAACCGACTGTGATGCAACAAAGCACATCGTTGATGATCGATGTACAAAAGAGCCCACTGGTCTAGAACTTCTTAGACTTCAAGTCTCCCCCACTACACGACATTTTACTGCCAAGCTAGCTCTTTAACCTAATCCCCGCCCAGCAACTCTTAAGCTTGTCCCTGAAACCCTAACCCCCGAACCCTAAAATCTCCAAACCCTAACACCCTACAATGCCCTAAACCCTAAAGCCCTGAGACCCTAAACCCTCCAGGTCCTGAGTTGCTGGACCTCCATGAGAATGCTCTGCAACGTGCTTTTGAGGTCGGTGGCCTCGGCAGCGACGGCGTCGAAGAGCGCCCACAGCTTCGAATTTTTCGAGTCCAAGGCATGAGTAAGTAAGTAGGTCAGTACGTAAGTACGTAAGTACGTAAGTAGGTAAGTAAGTAAGTAAGTAAGTAAGTAAGTAAGTAAGTAAACAAAAGTGGGTGCAATAGCGCACGTACAGACAAACATAGATAGATAGATAGATAGATAGATAGATGGATAGATATAGACATATTTATGTTGATTGGCCTGTTATTCATTGATCAATGCATTCGTATGTCGAGGTCTCTCGCCCGAGTTGGCCCTATTGCCACCGTCATAGTGAGGATAATGCAGCTTCGGGTTGCTTCCCGAAAGAAGGTGCGTGTACTGAACCATCGGAGAGGTCATGGCGTTTCTGAACCTTTCCGTTCAGAAGTTGGGCCTTTAGCCTTTCAATGCCTTTGAGGCTTTGACTTCTGAAATGCAAGCGGTCTGAAGCTCTTTGTCCGGTACCGGGGCCGGAATAACTAGAACAACAGGTTTTGGGTTGTTTCCTCATACAGCGATGAGGCGACCCTAGGAGGGAACATTCAGACCTCCATACATTGCACCAAACTTTGCCCCACCACAAGCACCCACTTTCAGGCTTTAGCATCTCCTGAAACCCTGAGCGCTTGAAGCCCCCAAGCCCGAAACCGTAAACTCCCCTTTGTGTGCAGCATGGCTCTGAGTGTCAGCCAACGAGTCCGCCCACCCTGACTGGGGCCCTAAACCCGTAAACCCCTAAACTGAAAGCCCGAAAGCGTTAGGGGAGCCCGAAAGCGTTAAGTCCAATGTTTCTTTGAAACACTGAACATGGAGTTGGGGTTGATATAGCGGTCGGAATAATTGGCCAAAGCCTTCTCTTATGGTCCCGAACACACATACAAGTATAGTAAGATACAACCCGCAACCACATTTTCTCTACAGTTGGGTGCGCCACTTTAGGCCCACAATGCACACCTCGCGGTCCCCAAGCCCGGATACCAAAGCCAGACCTTACCCCGAAAACCCTCATGCAGTAGAGCCCCTTTATGCTCGACTGTGACATATAACCCCCATGGCCCGTCACACAATCTTTAAACCCCTACGACACCCCGGACCGCGTACACCCTGAACCTGGACGCCATTCTTGTAAGTGCGAAAGACCTCCTTCGGATTTCAGGCTCGGACCAGAAGCTCCTTTGCAGCATTGGCCTGACATAGTTGGTTCTTTGGGGACGTACTCAGGGTTGCGTAAGGATAACGGGCTTAGGGCCTTTAGGGCTTAAGGAATTTTGAGGCTTGACGGTTTTGTGGGGCTCTACATAGGGCTTTGGGTTTCTGAGCTCGGAGCCGTAAGCAACACAAATGCTGGGGAGATCCCAAAGCTCGACCAAAAAAACCAAGCCCCTCGTGTCCTTGGGTGTTGTTTTGGCACTTCTTGGACCCAGACTCTGTTGATCAGCTGGGAAGCTGTTTTGGCACTTTTTCCCCTTTTTTTGAGCAGGGACTGCAATGCACTAAGCCCTAAAAGTGCCCTAAACCCTACATCCCTCAGTCCTAGGCCTTGCTCGCCTTGATGCTCTCAACCCCTATACACCCCACACCCTGCAAAGCCACTGAAGGGTTGAGGGTCATTTATACGGGTTTAGGGTTTAGGGCTGGGGTTTGTAAGGATTTGCAGGGGGTTATAGGGGTGTACAAGGGCGGTACCGCGCTCTGCGCGGGGTTTCGTAGGGGTTTCAAAAGATGGGTCAAAATAAAGGGCCTGTATTATGGTGTTGCTTCATAGGGCTTAATGAGACCCCAAATTCAATGTTCAATCATTCTATTGAGATCATGGACGGGGATTTTGCTACAACACTAAGCAAGACGTACTTTGGCGTACTAGGAAAGTCCATGAGCCATTGTTGACTCTCTTTACGCTGAGGGTCTGAGGTCTTACAGCACCTACCTAAACCCCGGCAACCTTACATTTTCAGGAAACATGTTAGAAAGCCTATATATCAGGAACCCCAAACATGTAGGCTTTTGAGGGCTCAGGAGACATGAACAGTTTTTCAACAAGAACCTGACTCATCCTCCAATCTTCTCCAGCGACGGTCCTTGTACATGCGTTGCTGCCTCACCCTGCTTCCTGCCGTACACTGTAGGAAGAGAAGCGGCCGAAGTTGAGGGCCTCGAGATCTTTGGGGAAAACAGTTGTGAGATGTCGGCGACGTTATTCACACCAAATTTCAAACTCACATATCGAAACTTGGAGGTTGCTTAGGTGCGAACACCAAAAACTATTATAAGGAAACACCACAACTGTCTCGGGAGCCTGTCGATGAGCATGGCAACAGAAGCCTGTGAGGTGCTAGTGGCGGCCTGCGTGCTCAACACCATCCCGGCTGCCCGCACCTGCTTTGGATGTGGGCCGTGGGATGAATCCTTGAAGATGTTGTTGGGTCGACCATGGTCCTTGCTGCTCGAAGTACGCGTGCCCAATATACTGAGGAAAGCGCAATTGCTACTGCTTCGGTACGGAGACTAAGGTTTTAAGATTTTCTGCATGCTAGGGACTGGAAATCCAGTTATAGGTTATTTACCATTCTGGGTAGGATTTGGGATATCATCATTTGGAGGATTTTATTTTGCTCAGGATTCTTCTCAGGATTTGTTCGAGGATTTTTTAATCATTCCGATTTTGCTCAGGATTCTTCTCAGGATTTGTTCTA